GATTGTCCTGGATGGATTAACTTATCGTTCACGCGATACATAGAAAGTACTGCTTATGATCACAATTGTCCTGGATGTATTTGCTTATTTAAATTGTAACACTCATAATTTATTGCGCTCGCGACTGTTCATCTAGGATGCGTGTTCTTAATGAAGGAATATTGAAACAAGCGACATCCCCCGGCGAGCGCTATCGACGCATACCCTACACTCGAACAGTCCCCCCGTAGTCAATATCCTCCATTCCGTTAAAAGAGTTGTTGATAGTGTCAAGTGTCAATCCCGTGGCAAAGGGAGTACTTCTCTGGACCCATTTTCAGACTAGCTCTGGCTATATCTCACGGAGCTATCCCCGTGTGTTCCAGATTCAAAGTGTCAAAGTGTCACAGCGTCAAAGTGTCAAAGCGTCAAAGTGTATGCCCAATAGGGCACTGAGGGCCAATCGATGCGGGAGTTCGGGCGTTGCACCTGTGTACACATACTTGCACTTGTGTACACATATTGGGCCCCTGGGGTGTTAATTAACGGACTGATGGCTGATGGGTACGGAAGTTCGGATGGTGCATCTGTGTATGCCTACTGAGTAGCACACCCCTATTACTCATACCACATCCCCCCCCCCCTCCCTTTAAACCCTAAACCCTGAACCATAAACCCTAAAATACTGAGCGGCATACCCCACTTACGGGTTGATGCTGACTTTCAGAGTGTGTACGCTTTCGAGCATCACAGCCGAGTTCAGGACAGGACAAGCAACTCGGAAGTGTGACGTGGCATGAGTGGATGTATTCGCGGGCGATCTCCCACAATGCAACTGATGCTGGCTGCTTGTGTTCGCTCAGATACACTAGGGCCGATAGGGTGCTCCTCCTTTAATGTCCACTACCACCCGAACGGATATCCCGGAATGCAACTGATACTGGCTGCTTGGGATTGCCCAGATACACGACCAATCCAAGACCGAGAAAGTGCTCCTCTATTATTGTCCACTACAACCCGAAGGATATCCCATAATGTAGCTGATGCTGGCTGCTTGCGTTCGCTCACGTACACCCGAGAGAGTGCTCCTTCTTTAATGTCTACTACCACCCGAACGGATATCCCGCAATGCAACTGATACTGGCTGCTTGCGATTGCTCAGATAAACGACCAATCTAAGACCGAGAAAGTGCTCCTCTATTATTGTCCACTACCACCCGACGGCGACAGATAGGATATATGTACTGGTGTGGACTATAACTCTTTACCCGCATCGGTAGTGGCGATCTCCTTCTTGAAGTACGCGATTGTTTTCTCCAACCCGTCACGCACAGACCATTTTGGAGCCCAGCCTAATTCCTACGTGACGGTATTCCAAAAATAAATAAATTGAGGTTTAGGATGCGATACGTCAGGTTTAGGACGGTATTTTTTTTTGTCATTTTGTGAGTGTACCCAATGAACCCTCACCCCCACAAGAACCCAGTGTGTGACCAATGAGAAGAAGTACAATATCCGTAAATCCTACACAATGGTTATATATATATATATATATATATATATGTATATATATATATATA